AGCTTGTGGAGAAGCTGCTTGTGATGAGTTTTTGGCTCATAATTTCTCATCACCACCTGTTTTTGGTGGTTATCAGTGTATTACAAAGGTGTTAAACAGATTTCAGTACTTCAATAGGTTGGTATATTATTAACATTATACCAGTTTATAAAATAAGTTTTTTAAATGTAAATTTAAATTAAATCCGTAAACCTAAAATGTTTCTACTGTATTTTTTATGGTAAAATTCTGGCAACCACAGCTGCCAGCTGTTTTACCATTTTACAGAATTTGTTTTACAGTGTGTTGTAATATGCAGCAAACTGCACATAGCAACATACTGTAACAAATGGTTACAACTCATAAATCATATTTTCCATATATCCATACACAATGTAAAATGTACTTTTTAAACATGTAACAAATAGCAAATTTTAGTTTATGGTACAACTGCCATCAAGGCAACACAGACCGAGCTCAGAAATGATTCTAGAAACAATATTTACGAAAAAGCGAAAAAATATAACATGCATATTTCTATCCTTTTTTTTTTTTTTTTATGGAGCTTGTGCTTAAGTTTCTTTTCTGACTGTGGCCAAATAAAATTGGACAGTTACACTTTACACAGTTACACACTGACTTCCTCTGTTTAGACATACTATCTTGACAATTTGTGAATATTTGGAAAAGTATTTTACAATTCAGCGAACTGACGTAGAATTGTATGAATTTATATAATCTTATATGACTGACTTGGTTGACTGTATTTTCATGACGTAATCTTTTCAGTTACACTATATTTTTAATAGTCCCCTTTAGACTTTCTACTACATGTAAGTAACTTTGCAACTACATGACAACTAACTCTCACTTGTCAGGATTATGGACCTGTTTAGTTGTCTTTTGCCCCTGTCTTTGTTCCTGGTGTTCCTTATATGGTCTTTTTCCTGTCCTCGTTTAGTTTAATTAGTCATTCAGTTCACCTGTGGTTGTTAATTATCCCTTGCATTTAAGGTTGAGTCTGTGCTGTCTGTCTTTGTCTGAGATTGTACGTCAACCCTGGTGTTACCTGTGCTCCTGTCTGCCCCGTGTATTCCCTTGGATGTTGGATTAAAAGACTATTGTGTTTGTTTACGCCTTGTCTCCTCGTTCCTTCCCAGAGTGAGCGTGACATCACTGGAGTGTTCGTGGACTGTTAGGTTTTGGTTTAGGTTTAGTAGAATAAGCTGACATGTACTTGCAACATTACTTGTAGTCAGTAGAATGTCTATTGGGGAACCATCAAAATAAAGTGTTAGCAGATATTAAGCAGACAGTCTCTAATGACTGGTAGTTGACATGTAGTTGCAAAGTTACTTATTTTACAATTCAGCGAACTGACGTAGAATTGTATGAATTTGTATAATCTTATTTGACTGAGTTGGTTGACTGTATTTCCATGACGTAATCTTTTCAGTTACACTATATTTTTAATAGTCCCCTTTAGACATTCTACTAAATGTAAGTAACTTTGCAACTACATGACAACTAACTCTCACTGGAGTGTTAGTAGACTGTTAGGTTTAGTAGAATAAACTGACATGTACTTGCAACATTACTTATAGTCAGTAGAAGGTCTATTGGGAAACCATCAGTGTTGGGAAGGTTTCTTTGGAAATGTAATAGGTTACAGATTACAAGTTACCCTACTTAAAATGTAATAAGTAGTGTAACTTTTCAATTACTTTATTAAAGTAACGTAAATTATTACATTTGATTACTTTTTGATTACTTTTCTAAATTTCTAATGTTTTCAACTGTTAATCATTTTCAAACATGTAAACCAGGCAGGCTTAAACTTACAATATGTGCTCAACACTGATAACTGTCAGACTTTCGAAATCCTTCATCACTTGAATTAAGATTATAATATTTTCATTTTAAAGGAGACATTGGATGCAAAATATCTTCATTTGCGTATAAATGTGTCTTAGCAGTGTGTGGACACAACCACCTTACAATAAATAATCCCCCAAAAACCTAAACAGTCTCAATTATAAAGCCATTTTGATTTTGGAGTGAATACCAGCACTCTCTTCCACCTTCAATACCATGATGGAGGTGAGACCCTTGAGCAAGGCACCAAACCCCCAACTTTGTTGGTGTGTGTTTACGGTGTGTGTGTTCACTGCTGTGTGTGTGCACTTGGATGGGTTAACTGCAGAGCACAAATTCTGAGTATGCGACATCATACTTAGCTACATGTCAATTCAATTCACTTTCACTAAATTTGCTTATGTCTGGCTGTGCAAATCAGACTGCTTTCTGAGTGAGGGACAATTCAAGGCAAGTTTTGTTAAAAAGTTCAAACTCAATGATGTATCAGTACCCATTGTTCATGATCCAGC